GTTAACTAATAGAGGATAATTAATGCAACCCAAATCACAACATATCTACTATGCATCATTTACTGAAATCATTTTTCTCTTCTTTTCACTTGCATTTGCTCAGCTGCTTAATAACAGCAATGTTCAACAGGCACATGTACATGGTAAGAATTTTATAGAACTTGGGTTTGTCATTGTGTTCACTAGGCACTAATTCCGTCCTAGACTCAATGTGAATACAGAGAACAAAAACTAAGTTACTGGACGACAGCAATGAGCAGGGGTAAAAGATGAAATGAAATGTCATAAACCTACAAGAAGAACAGAGGTTTTTAAAACAAGGTATAAAGGTAATGGACTGTGAAATAGCAATTCTCAACCCCAGTTTGGGGATTTTATTAAAGAATAATATGAATATGTTACCTTAGGAAAAGAGAAGACCTGAGGCTGCAAAATTGTTTAGTTTCATAAAATGCTATACTGCATAAAGGAGTATCTTAGATGGAGAAGCAAAACGGTACATTTGTTAAAAACATGATCTCAGGAGCCAGAATGCCTGGGTTTTAATCTCAGTTCCACCATTTATCAACTGTGCTATCTTGAATAATTTATCTAATCTCTCTGTGCTTTTGCTTCCTCATTTGCAAAATGAGCCTTATAATAATACCTAACTCATAGAATTGGTGTGAAGAGTGAATGATCTTTTTAATGTTTAGAATGGTATCTGGGAGCTATTAAGTCCTCAGTTTGTTCACCTATTAACTAAATACATAACAGCACATATTTCATCAGAAACGTAACAGCAGAAGGGTTAAAACCACAGACATTGGAGTAAGAGTCTGTGGGAATGAATGCCAGTTTCTATTGCTTATAAGGAACCTCCTTAACCACTCTGTACCACAGTGCCTTCACTGATAAAATAGATTTACTTGGATTATCCATTTCATCACTAAAATGGACTTGTATTACCATTTTATCAGGGTATTTTGAGGATTAAATTAATTTTAACACATATAAACTACTTAGAAAAATGACTAGTACATGGTAAATGGTCAGCAAATGTTAGCTATTCTTATTCTTTTGTTGTTTCATTTCTTGACTTTTCTTGACTAAACAAGATGAAACAAATAGCCTATCTTG